TATGACTTTGTTTTAAAATGGTTTTAAAGTACCACTTACTTTTAAATCTTGCATCGAATCTTTTTTGCAATCATTTCGAACCTGTGTTCATTTAAACCATCCTACCACAATGTTCATTTTGTAGTACAGTTTCATAAATGCGAAATGACACAGCCTCTTTTTTAAAACCGAAGTTGGTCCTCTCTATAGCCCTGGGATCCGTGTAGCCTCTTTTAAATTTAAAGCTGGTACTTTGAAATAGTAATTACGTTTCATAACTCACTACTTTTTTAAAAATGTTTTCTGATATTGATGCTTTGACGGGTTCCATTTTCTATTATCTATTCTGTAACCATTTATTCTGGGCTGTGTTTTACTAAGTCTTTGATGATTAAAACCTATTCACTACTTGCTTCTATTTTTGAAATTGACCTGTACTTTTAATTTAAAGTTAAAAATTAACTTTATTATCAAATTATGATTTCTTTTTAATATGTAATGAACTTATATTATATTTTGTGACTATTCATTTTGGCTTTTTAAAATATTCTGCCCTTGTCATTAACTTATGAAATAACAATTCCAATAACTATGCTTTTTTATGGATGAAAATCCAATTACTATTCTGTATTTTTTAAAAGTAGAGTTTAAGTAAACTTTTCTCAACAAAACGTGTTAGACTCGAAAATAAAAACAATCACTTAGACTCATCCTGACTTAAATATTTTCCCGTTTTTATAAAACGTTATGTTATCTGCACTTATTATTTCAACCTTTCTAATCCAATAACAATTATTCTTCCGGGTAATTTTTTTTTTATAATATTTAACATCACAAAAAATATGCCCTTTGGAAGCCTTGGTAATTAAAATCTTAAATACCCGGGCAGCCACATTAGGGCTAAAATAAATTACCCAAATTTCCTGTTTAACCACCATGTACTTCACAATTTTAAAGGTTTTCCTGAGCATTTGTGTTCTTAAACTAAAAAGTAAAACTGTTGTTTATAAAAATTCCTAGACTTTAAAATTAATATTTTGTAAAGGCAGTAAAAACAGATTTTATCATTTTCAATTATCTTTGTCGAAGAAATTATATTTGTGCTTAGTGAAGTACATCGGTTACATGTTTAAGTGTGGAGGAAATTACTTGCGCTTCACAATATATTTGGGAAAATAGTTTTATACATGTTTTATATACCTCAATTCATACTTATGTACTCATATGAATTTATTTATATTTATTATTAGTAGAATTTTAAAAAATGCTTTTATAAGGAAAATTAATAAAAAAAATGCAGCAAAGTAGTACCGAATTTGAATTAAAGTATAATTTTTTATCCTGGGCTGTGTTTTACCAAGCCTTTGATGATTAAAACCTATTCACTACTTGCTTCTATTTTTTATAATTACCTACACTTTTTATTTAAAGTTAAAAATTAACTTTATTATCAAATTATGTTTTCTTTTTTAATATGTAATAAACTTAAATTATTTGGTGACTGTTCTTTTTTGGCTATTTAAGGTATAATTTTTTATTCTGGGCTGTGTTTTACCAAGTTTTTGATGATTAAAACCTATTCACTACTTGCTTCTATTCTGTATTTTTTAAAAGTAGAGTTTAAGTAAATTTTTCTCAACAATATTACTTAGACTCGAAAATAAAAACCATCACTTAGACTCATTTTGTCTTAAATATTCTTTCCGTTTTTATAAAATGTTATCTGCACTTATTATTTCAACCTTTCTAATGCAATAACAATCATTCTTGCAGTTACACTTTGCCTCCACATGAGGACTTTTGAAGAGTAATTAGAAACAACTGTAATAGGTTTAGTTTTGGGACCTTAGATGGTTGCCAACTATATGTAATATTCATAAGGCCGGGTTTGTAATATTAATTTAGTATGAGTAGGGTTTGCAGGTATGCTCAACATAAGGCCCATGTATGAACTCATCTAACACTTCTTCCATTATTATCAGTATTATATGCCTGCATTGCGAAACTTAGAAAAATAACATTTAAAAAAGGAACTTTATTCAATGTTAAATAAGTAGGTACAAAACATCCCTAATACAATTGTAATCTAGCTAAACAATGCACAACTTCGTATCTCTTTATCCTATCTTCAGCCTTGGTTGCTCCAGGCATCCTACTGCGTTCATTTCTGGTTGAACGTTATTTACCTGAAAAACAGTTAAAATTGTATAAAAAAACATGATACGAAATCTATTCCCTTTTTATTTACAAGCATCATGAGTATGCCTCCCTATTTTCGTAGAAAACTTCAACTTCATGAACCTGCAAATTTAATCAATATCCAAACATAGGACCATGTAAACGCAGTAGGATTTGTTCAATGAACAACCCTGGTCACAAAACATAGATAAATAAAGCAACAAATAGTCTTTCATCCGAAATTTGGATTGTCTTTGTGCTAGTGTTTAAACACATCCAAAAATAGTAGCTAAGGCACACACAACCATAAAACAGCAAAAGAGGTTTTCTAAACAATGTCTTAGTAAATCACTCCTTAGTTTCCCTAAACACCGGGTTCCTGCTTGATTTTCATCTTCAGCTTCTTCACTTTTCCATTGGTAGAAAACTCATCGTTCAGATTACGTTTGATTTCATCAGTCAGTTCAACCTCAACCTCCCTCTTTGTGCATGCTGGTGGAGTATCTGGTAGGTCAATAGGAGAACGGTCCTGGTTTTTAAAAAACTGTTAGAATGGTACACCGAAAACCTATTCTAGCAGAATTACTCACCTTGATGACAGCAGAATCATATATCTCAGGGTGCATTTTCATGTGCAAGGCCACGTTCATATAGAGTAATTCCATTACGAAGCAAATGTGATGGTCCTGAAGGATAACTTTCTCAAACCTTCAAAATCGAGATATATTAAGCAGCTATGGAAGATAACTTCTCAGAAGCTTAATTCAATACTCTTATTACCTATACTAGTAACTAATTATTAGTCAATTTGTATCATCTTTATTAACACAATTTCTTTAGTATTTTTAACTGTTCGTAAGGTCACTGCTTGTTTTATGAACTTTTATCATCTTTATCATTCATTAGCACCTTAAACTTAAGATATACTGAATTTCAAAACTTAGGTGTAGAGGTTACACCTGTTCACGGGTGTATACACCAACATTTATAAATTAAAAGTGCAAGTTAAAAAGATGTTACAGATGAATGCACTAACAATTGACCTATCAGATAGAGAATTACCTAACAATATTATCACACTTGGTGTCAAACATAATGGAACCTTCTCGGAAAATAACTGCTGGTACTTCATTCTCTATTAGTGGTATCTTCTTCATGGCATATCTATCTTTTGAAAGTTTGTCAACAACTACATACACTTCTCCATATGCCCCTACTCCTATGCATTCTTCCAACTCGTACTGCAAATTTTAGAACATATATGTAAAGGTTGGTACAAAGTAAGAACCAATACATTGAAAGACAATTAAGTTTTGAATTGAATAACAATGACATAATGTAAGGAAAAAGTATGATATATCACTATGAATACCTTATAATTCTGCGAAAGATTACAATACGTGCCTGACACCAATTCGGGAAATAGAAATAAACGATCAAGCCCTACTTTTCAACAAGCAACCCATCCCTTCTAGGTTTGCATGTCGTCATAAAACTATTCGTTAGTGGAATTTATGCTGTTCTTTTTCCATCTAGAAAACTTCAATATTTTATAAACTTTTGGGGTTGTATTGTTTAACATACATATTATATATTAATTAGAGAAACTTCTCTCATTTTTTAGAAACTTTTGAAACATATTTTCAAGGGAAATTAAAACAATTCTGCCCATTAGTGTGCAGCGCATTTTGTTGGTGTGAAATCCAAAATAGTTACTATCTTCAATCACACATTCTTCTTACCAATTTAGCAAATCTATTCAGTGGTTGTTTGTTAATTTGACTCAGAAATGAAGTCTGTTTAATGAGGATCTAATCTCTATAATTTTGAATCTTTTCATTACAAATGTGATGTTATTATTAGAAAAAAAGTATTAGGAAAAATCTATAACCATTGTGTGATGTCGCAATTTGGTGGGCATAGTCGTGCCTTGCCAACATAGGGAATTGGCCTGGGTACTATGATGTTGGAGCATTTTTGAAGTTGGCCAGATATATGTTCACATAATTTTGCACCCTAATGTTCACTTGGCCTTGCTAATCTCATATTTTCTCATTACAAATTTGCTTCTATGAACCAAGAATATTGAGAAAGATTTTGTGAGCCTAAGTGATATGATCAAATGTATTGAGCTCTTATTGAGTTTATCTGATTATAAGCTCTTCTGATTAGTTACATATATTTAACAATTCTCTAATGAACTTATTATATAAAATTATGCTGAGTGATGATGTATTTGTAACTTCTTTTAGTCATATGCAATAAAAAACAAGTAGCTCAGCTGAATTGAAGAGCTAAGAACCAGAAATTATATACAAACTGTGTGATACGCTCACCTCGGCCGGGCATGTGTGTTCCATACTTCTCTCTCAATATCTTAATTGGATGGTAAAAAAAGTATATGTTAGGGGTTTATAATTCTAATTTTAGAGCTTTTATTCAAGTATCTTGATTTCCATCCAATTAACTTCATTAAAATTGGTATCCATATAACTTATGAATTTTTTCATTTCTAATTAGTTGAAGGCATTTTTAGTTGAACACCCATTTTGTTTAGAGTTGAGAGCCACAAGGTCCACAACTATGCCGCTTAACTCCCATAATGGCTACTAATCTTTTGGTTATTCGATAAGTTCAGTTATTAAGTTTTGGTTTAAAACCAATTTTTAATGTAGCATTCTTATCCTCTATCACTATATTCCCTGAAAACGGGTGAATTGTTGGATTGAAAGACATTTCCTAAAAAAGGCACACCTAAGTAATTTTACATATGAACTATATAATATATTTTCTCCATTATAAAAGAATCAGAGATGTAGTCATTAAAATGGTGTATCCACTGCATTTTCTTTGACCCATTTGCCAGCCATCTTCCTGTGTCCCTATGTTAGATACCTAGCTAATTCACAATGAATTTCAAGAAACAAGATGAAGGAAAGAGATGAACTGAAAGTGTCGTATAACAGAAAATGTAGAGAGAGAAATACACAGGCAGTTTAAGAGTGCCCACTCTCCAAGTCCCAAGCCCAAATAACAATTCCAACCTACTTTCTATTCTTCCCTCACCCTCTATTTATACTGACTATTCTAATATTATTATTACTCTCATTTATTATTAGTATTATTATCAGTGCTATTTTGCTAGAGTCCTATCATATCTCCCCCCTTGAACATCCATCTTGTCCTCAAGGTGGGTGATAGGAAATCGCCTTGATCTTTAACTTTATCTTCATCCTGGCGCCTCTCCCTTCCCAGTATCTTCCAAATTTCAGGACCCTGAACTTCATGAACTGAACCATTTCCATCACTTTTACCCTGCTTGCAAGGGCATAGTTACATGATGCTTCACTAAAACCTAGTCAACACCAAGTGCTGCAACCCCTAGAGAACCCTTCTCATTGGTCAGTTCCCCAATACTAGCAGAAAAAACTGGCTGCCATTCCTGGAATTGGATACCTAGAGATCTAGGTACTTCATAGAGTTTTTTTGTACCACACTGTTGAGAAGGCATCATGGCTCGGACTTTCCATTTTCCTTCAGTATCAAGAGTGAGGAAACCATATCCAATAGCTGAATCCTTTGCCATAAAACTCAGGGCACGATTGATGAAGTTTCTGGGATTACGTCGTGATTCACTATTTAATTTTTCCTCATTGCCAATGACTCCAACTCCTTTTCTTTTTGAACAATTCCCTGCTTCATAGTTCAAGTATTCTGTGTAGATAGTTTTCATAACAGTCCAGTTTTCCTCCGTTCCCAGTAGGGTAGCTGGGACTATTACTGTATGAAAAGGCACCTTATTCTTGCCCATATATTGGTAGAAATCCACATTCTTAGTATTCTTCCACCCTTTTTCCCATTCATCTCTTGACTTTAGTTCTCCACTTAGCCAGGCCTGTGTTGTGATAGTAGTCTGCTGATTCCATCCACCATCCACTTGCATACTTTTTGCAAAGCTCTCTAGTTTATTTTTCAGCAATGGAAGCTCAAGGAACAAATATTTTGTATCACTAATGAATGGAGTAGTTTGACAAACCAAAGTAAGTTTCAACAGAAGGGTTTCCAGATTCTTAAAAGTGAAGATCTCATCAAATTCCTTTATTTTATTAACTTTTCCTTCAACTATGCTGTTAAGATTAAACTCATCAACCCATCTCAGTCCAGAATTAGAGGAATCCCAACTTGCAGAGAGCATCAAACTGCAGTCCTTAACTGCTATCCCAAATTTGACATAGGGGTGAGTGAAGAGTGATCCCTCAAATGCACAATTCTGTGGATCATTCTTCCCCAATTGCCTTGCTAAAGTGCCCTGGAATATTACCACCTCTTTACCCGCAATAACTTGGTCCTGACTGTCAACATTTCCAACATATTTCTCCATCCCATTTCTATTAGTAAGTGTGTGAATACTGTCACCTAATTTCCAATCCTCCTCTCTTTTCCTGAGTATCTTAACCCATTGATCCGCAATTGTCATAGGAAATCTATAGTCCAAATATGCACTTCCCCATTGAACCGGTTTACAAACTACTGCCTTTCCCTTACCATTTTCACCAACAATTAATGCATCCGTGAATAGATCAGGTATAAAATTATTGACAAGCATCCGAAATATCTCTACCTCAACATTAGTAGCAATATCACCCTTTTTCTTATAATAACCAGTAATTCCTACCCTCAATCCATTTTGGACACACTTCACAGAAATATCATCATTAAATCTGAAGCCATCAAACTTATTCTGCCCTTCCAAAATTCTCCTTGATGAATGAAGGTGCACAATTTCCCCTAATCTCCCAACTCATGTTCTTGAACTCTTCTCAACAAAGATTTAAAACATCCCATGTTTCTTTCCAGTACAATAGCATACCTTCGAATATCATCGTTAAAGATATGTGTGTGAAATTGGTCCTCTTTATCCTCTCCTGTATCATCTTTGGTCAATACCAGGGCAAAATCAGTGGGCGTTGGACTATTTGTTTCTTGATGGTAAAGAATGTCAACTTCGTTATTTTTCGAAACGTTTGGTGTCGCTTGCTTCAACTCAGTAGTGACCCGACCTCTCATATTAATACGTGCATTTGAACATTCCGTACCTTTAGATAGAGTTGCCGTGGATTGCCAGACTCTTGCGACTCAGACAACAACAGCGATCTGGAGGCTTCCCCTTCCGGTCGCGAACTGAAGGCCTCAACTACCGAGGACACCTTGCTTGCCGAATTCTGACAACGGCGGACTGTTCTCGATCGACCTCACCTGCGACGTTGTTGCCGCAGCTTGGGGTTCCCCTTCTCCAGGTTTGAGCGTTTCTCCTTTTCTAGGTTTGAGTGCTTCTCTTTCTCCACTTTTCCGCGCTCAACCTTTTCTGCGAGCTTCCCCAATTTTCCGCGCGAATCCTCTGGCGAGTGCGAAACAGTTCGCGACTCCTTCTGCGACTTGGTGAGCGACTGCGATGGACTCAGTTTATCAGAATGATGATGATGCTTGGTGTTGCTCGATCGCTGCAATCTACGATTTAGACGCTCACAGTAGTGCAAGATACTTTTCTAGCGTTCTCTCCTTCATACATCGATCTATATTATCAAAACCCTTTTCCATTTGGGGTGTCATGTAGAAATCCTCCATGATTCCAATTCTCCGTCTCCAGGAAGTAAGGTGCTCTGATACCAATGTTAGATACCTAGCTAATTCACAATGAATTTCAAGAAACAAGATGAAGGAAAGAGATGAACTGAAAGTGTCGTATAATAGAAAATGTAGAGAGAGAAATACACTACCATCTTCCTGTGTCCCTAATTCTTGTAGGCCCGCCTACGATTGATTGGAGATTTATTCAATAGGTCCTCCTCCTCTATAGATTGGAATGTGTGTTGCTTGCCACTACACCAGGCCAAGGAAGGGATCGAACCGTTATATACGAACTATGAAACATTCTATTGATTTTTTATCTCTTACCTTACTAGCACCTATAACATACACTTTATAATTTATATAAATATAATCTTCTGATAGGGATGACTCAAAAACTAATAACTATAGAGTGTAGAAAATGAATGAAGGCCGAGTCATATGAATGGTGTAGGGTCATAATAATTACGTCTATATAGCGAGCATAAGATTTTGAAAGGTCCACTTTTCCTTAAGATTGAGTTGTTACTTCTTTTGACATGCCAAAGACAAAATTAAGTTAAAATAATGTTTTCACATTCTACAAAAGGGCGCGTTTGGTTGGTTAAAGCCCGCGGAAGACGTGCCACAATGTCAAAGTGGAATATAAACAGCCGTGATGAACGTGATGATTTTAAAACTACACTCTATTTATGCTGATGCACCATCTTTCCTTCTTAATGCTTCGATTATCATCATATACCGGGTGTTCTTTTGTTTATAGAAGGTATTTGATGTACTTATATTTTACACACTTTTTAGGCTTAGTTTGTTGTTAATTTTAGTTATTAAAGTTCTACTTTTGTACATATTTTTATTATTTGTCGTTAGTTTGTACTTGTGCAGTCCTACACGGGTATTTTGTATTTTCAGGTACTTTTGATGCTATTTGGATACATTAGAGTGTGAACAAAAGAAGAAAATAAAAGTTCAAGTTGGAGGTCAATAAAAGTGGAATTTCCTTCAAAACAAATAAGGAGTAAATTGAAGAAAAGAAGCAAAAATAAAAATGGTGGAGATGAGATTCAATCCCTAAACAAAGGGTAGAAGAATACCTATTACAACCAGTGTGCTAAGTGATCAATGTTGTACATAATCAGCCGGTGGTTTATATATTGCTTGTGACCGCATCAAAGAAAAATGGAACAAAAGTCCGAAACCAGAATCGAAACCGCAACCTCTGCTATAGGCTTTAGCACTTCGTCCGCTGGGCTGCTGCGCACTGTTGGAACTTTGCTGCGCTTTGTTGTACATAAACTATATGTTACGTAAATTCCAACACTTACTCATTAATCATCTTATCATTATATTGCCTTAACTCATTTCCTCCACACATAAACTCGAACCAACTTCTCTCTAAACATCCTAGAAACATTTCCTCCTCCTTCTCTCTTCATTTCTCAACTCCAAATCATCAACCCATCTTCAACCACAACTAATCACTTCCTCATTCAAGATTAAGTCAAGATTAGCATCAAAGCTTCAAAGATTGTCATCTACCACAAGTTTGATCTTCCTTATCTCATTAAATCTTGTAGTTTATAAACACTAGTGTAAAATATACATTCTATAACTAGGTTTTAATACAGGTTCACTTAAGACCGTTATAATATGTAGGCACGGGGTCATCTTTGTAAATAATGAAAATTCGAGTATGTTAGGCGGGCGAGTATTATAAATATAAAATGTTTTTTATAACGGTTAGACATACAACCGACATAGTAAACTGAAACGGGGACTTTTTAATAATTTCTGCAAACTTAATTTCAAAATGGGGGCTCTTTTATAATTTTCAAAACTGATGTTCTATGTCAGTTCATTTTTTACCCTTACCGAAAGTGGCTATCAATGATTTAATTCCACAGACTAGGGCAAACTTATACCCAACCTAACCCATCCAGCTGCCTAAGTGATGAAGACGATCCAGCTGCTTCTTTCGGCGACTTGGATGAAGGCGACGACCGCTACTTCTCCAGGTTAGCGGAAGAAGAAGACGGTGCTACTGCTACTCCTGGCGACATCGACGAAGACGATGACCGTTGCTGCTCCAGGTTAATCGACGAAGACGACGTTGCCGTCGCTCCCGGCGACTTTGACGAAGACGGTGACCGCTGCTGTCCAGTTTAACAGAAGAAGATGACAGAATGTTGTTCTCGGTTAACACTCGCGCACTGCTCCGCCTCAACCGGAGAAGAGGATGCACAGATTGTTGTTCTCCATAACCCGCAATCAGCCCTCTTCCACTTTAGGTAAATTCTCAATTTTTCCAATTAACAATATTCTGAATATTTTTTCACGTAGGCTGCAACTGTTGTAAACATTTCCATTTACCGGTTGTTTATTTCCTTGAAATTTCAGAGAAAATATGATAAGTTCTAGTTAATTAGTTTTAGTTTAGAAGTTTCATTTTGACTGCAGCTGTTGTTTATAATGTTTACCAGAATATATGTGTTGATTTGTTACAGTTCACAGCTTTCAATTTCTAATGGTCAAATTATTAACATAGAATCAAGTTCTTATATGCAGATCTGGGACACTTTATGTAACACCCCCATTTTTCCCACCCAAATAAAATCACATTTTAAATGAAACCATCTTTATTATTAAACATATTTAGAATACAGCGGAAGTCTTTAAGGGAAAAATAGGTGCATCACCGCCACACTCAACCTATACATGATTGAGTGCACATGCTATCCACCATAAGTTCAAATAACAATGAAATAGGTCTTAGGACAAAGTTTATGAATTACAAATTTAAACAACGATAATTAATCAAACGTGTGCAACTAGCGGAACACTCGGGCAACAAATACATCAATCTTCATAATCATAATCATCTGTACAATAGAGCAAAGAGAAGAAGACAAAAGAGATAAAAATTAGCTTTAGAGCTAAGTAAGATTCCACGCGAACCCGTAAAATAATATAATTTGGAAAATAGGTTTGGTATAGGTATATATATAGAAAATACCCTCTCATATCTCCAAAATAACTTCATGCCTCAAAATAATTTCTTCAATAGATAATGTCATTCCTCAATTCCTCCAAAAGTAATACTTTAGATTTCTTTTAAGAGTGGGCGAAACTCAAGATTCCTCGAGCCCAACGAGTCGTTGTTATTTACGACTCATCCCGGAATTCCGGCTCCCACCGACCACCAATTTGGAAGCTGAATTTCTACCTTAAGTGTGCACACCCTCTAAAAGGGATTCCAAGCCCTCCGAGTTGTAAGAAACCCAAGTAGGCAGGATGTTTTCTACCACCTACTCACAAGGGACATTGTCCAGGGGTAAATTAGGTAACTACTACTACGACTACCAAAGGACCTTTGGTCCTCAAATAAAAGCCCGGGATGTCTACCGGAGCATGTCATTGCCGGACTGGTTACCGACCCAAATAAATTTCACCAAAAGTAGTAGCAGTCCTAATCACCCACGCCTCGTGTTTCTCTCGAGACGTAAAAGTATATTCTGAAAAACTTTCAGTTTCTCCCAAAGTCATTCTTGTCACATTTTCCAAAAATATACTGTGTAATAAATATCAATCCACCAATATTCTTTAATAAAAAGAATATACATTTAATAATCCATAATAAATAATAATCCACCAATATCCATACATTCAAAATATTCATTCCATGTCAAACAAATAGTTTCCAATAATTCACATAGTTCAAATATTGCATACATATAAGTACGAGATAAAACATTTTTGGTTGACATAGAACTTACCTTAAATTGCGATAATCCTCTTAATAAAATCTCTAGCTTGGTCTTCACTTGAATTCTCCTTCTAATATATATCAAAATTCTAAATCAATAACTATTCTATTATTTTTGTTATTTCCTATCTATTCAACCTTTAGTTATTTTAACTTCATTATTCCTTCTTTAAATACAACTTTTAAGTTAGATCCATAAATCTTATTTAAATGTTAATTTTCAGTCCAACCTTATTATTTTCTTTAATCATACTAATCCCTCCATAATTTACTTTAATTTATTTGATTAATTAGTTAACTAGTCTAATTATATTAACTACATAATAATTTAGTTATTTCAAATTTAAATAATCAATTTAGTTCAAAATTCAGTTTACATAATTTATATAATTTATTTAATAAACCTTTTAATAATAATTTGACGTAAGCAATAATTCGAAATAATAATCATTAATTATAATCTAATCTCAATAACAACTTTAATTAGTTCAATAGTTTTTTATACTAACTAACCCAATTAAATTAATTAATTCAATCCTCTAGTTTTATTTATTTGATTCACTAATTTAATTGAACTAACTAAATCAAATAAATAAGTTTAATTATATCAATATAGCTAAATACATTAATCTAATTCAATTAAGGCCAATAATCAAATTCTAATTCCGTTTTAATTTTCTATTTTTAATATAAAGTCCAAAAATATTACTACGTCCATAATTTAACTAATTTATCCATTAAACTAATTGATTTAGTTAAACTAGTCCAATGAAGTCAATTAACTTAATTATTAAGTACACATTACTTAATTAATTTGTTTATATTAATCAACTAAGTTTTATGAGTTCAAATAGTTTAATAATTTATATGGAGTCCAAATCAATAATAATCAAGGATAATAATTATTAATTTAATCAAACTAATTTAATTAGCCCACTAATTCATTAATTTATTTATTAAGTCCAAATATAGTCATTCATTTACGCTAGTTATCCCAACTGTATTTCTTTTCCTTATTTTATTCCAAACATCATTTTAGTCCAGAATATTATTTTCAATCTTAGCGATTTTATTTATTTCACCATTATTATTCAAATATTCTTATTTAATTACTTAACTAGTTTTATATGGCCTAATTAAATTAAATAGCTTAAGAAATGACTTTATAAATTTATAACCGTCCATAACTATATTTTGGGTCTATATTTGACCTAGGTTGTCCAGATATTTATTTTAGGATTATTTCCCTTATTTATTCATTTAATTTCATATATCTATTAACCGGTTTAATCATAATTAAATATACTACTCATAATTTTTATTAAATATAAATGGTCCCACATGTCCTAGTTAGTCATATATTTAATCTAGTTTACTCCAATAATTATTTCATAATTTATTTCGTCGTTTAGTTAATTATTTACTAAATATGTACAAACTGGCCCAATTACAATTAAATCAATTAAAAATAGTTAAAAATATTATTTTTCAATTCTGGTTGGTCCGAATATGTATATTTATACTAGGTTTTTAATTTATATTTTTCCAGATTTTAT